ATGCATCGATAGCAGCAACAGCTTTTCCAGGTTCTGCAGTCGTCTGAACAAAATTATAGACATTCAGCACATTCCATTAAAAAAAAAAAAAAACCAAAAAACCAAAGAAAAGAATAATATCCACAACAGTAAAGTTCTGTTACTGCTGTGGTACCTGGCACCATTTTTTCTATTAGCCTCTTAATCATCGTCTGTAAAGAGACCATTCTAGAGTAATATCATTAAATGTAGCTCTGATGAAGCACTGTCCCTATTATGTATCATAAAGCAGGTACTAGATATTTTACATTCATAGAGGTATGATACAGTACTGTCCTACATCAATAATACTAGATTCAGTTTTGGTTTGAAATTTACTTTGTCTGCAAATAAGATTGCTACCCCTGCTTTTTACTGGGCTCCTGTTTCATGAAGAATTGTTTTCTGTCTTTTCACTTTCAGTCTATGGGCTTCTTTTTGCACTAGGTGTGTTTCTTGTATACAACATATTGTTGGATTTTGCTTCTTATTCCATTTTGCCAGTCTATTTCTCTTGATTGGTGAGTTGAGGCCATTGACATTGCTGGTTATAACTGATATGTACTGACTTATTATTGACATGTTATTGGCCTTTTGTTGACTCTTTTTACTTTTTCACCTTCTTTTAATTTCTTGCCTTGCCTATTTGATTTGCTCTGTTGGGCCTCATGGTGTTGTTGCCTTCATTGTCTTTTTCTAGGATCTTGTTTAGAATTGCTTGTAGTGCTGGTTTGGTATTCATGTAGTTTCTCAGGTGTTCTTTGTCGTGGAAGTGTCTTATTTCCCCCTCCATTTTGAAAGAGAGTTTTGCTGGATACATCAGTCTAGGTTGGAGGTTGTTCTCTTTTAGTACTTGAAATAACTCATTCCAGGCTCTCCTTGCCCCAAGGGTTTGTGTTGAAAAGTCTGCTGTGATTCTGATGGGCTTTCCTTTGTATGAGATTTGTTTCTTTTCTCTTACTGCTTGCAGTATTTTGTTCTTCTGTTGGGTTTCTGGGATCTTGATTATTATAAGTCTAGGTGTTGATTTTTTTTGATTGTAGCTCGTTGGGGTCCTATATGCCTCAGTTATCTGAATGTCAAATTCTTCCCCTCTGTTTGGGAAGTTTTCTGTCATTAATTCTGCAAACAGCTTTTTTAAGTCATTTGTATTTTCTCCTGCTACTTCATGTATTCCTATCAGTCTTATGTTATTCTTCTTTGCATCATCTAGGAGTTGTTGGATCGATTTCTCATGATCTCTTACTGTTTTTAAGAGACCTCTCTTTTCATGGTCACTGACTGCAATCTTATCTTCTATATCTGAGAGCCTATCTTCGCATTCTTTTATTCTGTTGCGTACACTTTCAATAGAGTGTTTAATCTCCTGGATATCTGTTTGAATCTGTTTTATGGATTCCATTTCTTTCCTATGTTGGGCGTTTATTTTTTCCATTTCTTTCTTATGCTGGGCCTTCATGGCTTCTATCATGGTCCTGAGCTCATCTATTTTTTTGTCAGTTTCTGCTCTAGAGTCTCGAATCACGACTTCCATTTTGCTCACTATCTCTATGGTTATCTGGGAAATTATTTCTGTTTTGAATTTTTCCAGAGCCTGATTGATCTGTTTTGTTACTTCCTGTGCTTTGAGTTCAGGGTGTCCTGGTGGTTCACTATCGGCCTTTTCATCCTCATTTGCCCTACTGTTTGCCATTGGTGAACTGGAAGTCTGTCCTTGTGTCTTGGTTAAGTGTTTTCTCATTTTAATTTTTGTTGTTGGATTGTCCTTGGTTTAATCTCTGGATTATCACCCAAATCTTCCTGATATTGTTGGACCCTAGCTTCTGTGTCTGTAATGACCCACGGACATTCTCATCTTCATAACATCAGAGAAAACAGCTCATCAAATCAACGACAATGCTTTACCCCAACTGATACAATCAGCAACACATTGAGATCAAGCTCAACTTGGACACTGACCACCCGTGGTAGTCACTAGTCTATCACCCTTAAATCATTTGAATTAAATTGAAATCAAGAAGCAGTCCAGAACATGTCTGCAGTGAACAAACTCTTCAATATAGTATATTTACCATTTAATGGCTCAGACAGAGCGAGGATGCAAGACTCCTGATCTCAGTTAGCTGATTGCTGAACCCCTGATGCTGACTGACCTCGGGCTGCAAGGCCCAGATTGAGTTCCCCATCCTTCTGAATGGTTGAACTCCGCAACGTTCTATTACAGGTTTCCCATGCCCTTTCTTTAAAGATGTTCAAAGTTGGGAACTCAGAAACATACCCTTGATGACCACCTCTGTCTTTGCAGAGTGGGTCCAAAGACTTGCACAGTCAGGAGGTCTGAGAGTGCGGGGGGCGGGGGGCTTATGGGGGTTCAGGTGGCGCCTGCGCGGCTACCTTCCCGGCCTTGAGCGATGGCTGCTGGGTGGGGAGCAGGTGTGGTTCTCCTTCCTGCGGTGGATCGGGGCCCAGCCTACCTTCCCGGCACTTGAGCGATGGCGGCTGGGTCGGGAGCAGGCGTGGTTCTCCTTCCCGTGGTGGATCGGGGCCCGGCCTACCGTCCCGGTGTTTGAGTGATGGTGGCTGGGTCCAGAGCAGGCGTGGTTCTTCAAGAGTCTTAAAAAATACCTATTTATTGATTTAGAATTCACACTTATTAATGTATATGTATCTTGACTCATTGTTTAATAGCTTTTTGGTAAATAGGATTTCATTATGCAGTGCATTACTGTAAATTTCTGGATTGGTTTAACTACCTCTGATGTCACAATTCCTTCATTAAGAAGTCATAATTTTCTTAAATGTATTGTAGTAAGAACTCTTGCTCTCTTGTTTCATCATAAGAAAGATAATATACCAAAGACAGAAATGCCAGGAGGAGCAGGATATCTTTGATCCACACAGACCTTTTCCATTTATGTGCTTCAGCAATCTACTGCCAACAACTGAAGCTATCTAGCTTCTTTACTTTCTTTTTACAACTGATGTCCTTTTGGTTTACATTTCTGTCCATTTCTAGGCAGATGGAACAATGAACACATTTAGACTTAATCCTTCAACTTCTAGTTCTGTTTCATTTCAGCTCTTGAGGCTTAGCATCTTCCTGCTACTCAGCCTTCCTGGCTCCAAAGGAAAAGCAATCTGTACAGCTCATCTGAACATAACCTTCCAGGTGGGAAATCGGATTATATCAGAACTAGGAGAAAGTGGAGTGTTCGGGAATCATTCTCCTCTGGAACGAGTATCTGGTGCCTTAGTACTTCCTGACGGTTGGAATCAGAATGCTTGTAATCCTTTGACCAATTTCAGCAGACCTGAACATGCAGACTCTTGGCTGGCTCTCATTGAAAGAGGAGGCTGTACTTTTACACATAAAATCAATGTGGCAGCAGAAAAGGGAGCAAATGGGGTGATCATTTATAACTATCCAGGTACTGGCAACAAAGTGTTTCCTATGTCTCACCAGGGAACAGAAAACATAGTGGCAGTGATGATAGGCAACCTAAAAGGCGTGGAACTATTGCACTTGATTCAGAAAGGAGTTTATGTGACCATCATCATTGAAGTTGGGAGAATACACATGCCTTGGCTGAGCCAGTATGTCATGTTTTTGTTTACCTTCCTATCAGCGGCAGTTGCATACATCTTATACTGTGCCTGCAGATCCGGCATGCACAATTCTTCCACCAGGAGAGGAAGACGGGTGAAGGCTGATGTAAAGAAAGCTATTGGTCAGCTTCAGCTTCGAGTGCTCAAAGAAGAGGATAAAGAGCTAGATCCAGATGAGGACAATTGTGTTGTTTGTTTGGACACATACAAACCACAAGATGTAATACGCATTTTAACTTGCAAACATTTTTTTCATAAGACATGCATTGACCCTTGGCTTTTAGCTCATAGGACATGCCCCATGTGCAAATGTGACATTCTGAAAATTTAAGCGCAGAAAACCTGAAAATGTAGCCAAGTCTTTCCAAGGACGGAGAGTAGATTAATTCTCTTACTTCACTTTATATGGACAGAAAGTGTCCTATCGGCTTCTTTACCCAAGAACTAAAGAAGATGAATTTCATTGTTGTAAAAATAAAACTTAATTTCATTCCCAAATGTTTGGACTGTTGTCTTTCTAATAAGTACAATTTGTTTATATTTTTTCCCTTTTTCAAATATGGACATTTAGTATGTTATAAACAATATAATCTTTATTACCAAAGTTCTGATTATGATATCATTTCAATGGGAAATAAGTCTACTATTTTAAAATTTTCTTTTTAAAAATATTAATTTTTGTGCTTTGTTTCCAGCTTTGGTTTAATTTTTGATCTTTTGTAATTTGTGTCTCTGCTCATTAAACTTCATTATAATTAATTCACCTTAGTCATTGTTTTTAATATCCAGAACCTCTGGTATTCAAAGTTATTGACTGGGTAATACATTCTCAATAATAATTATTTCATATGATGCTTTTCTGCTTAAGTAACTAAAACTTTTAAATTATTATGGGCCTCAATTAGAGCAGCAATGCAAAAATCCAGCTCTGTTTGCCAAAGCTCTTTAAATCCTAACATGAATCAGTTATGGTAGCAGATTTTCCTTCTAATAGTGTCCCTGATGGATGCTTTTTTCTTTCTTCTCCAAATGGCAATGAATATTTCTCAGCTTGGGATTTGTATAACAAGCAAAGCTGAAATTTTGCTCGGTTGGCTTTACATATTGTATTGCTGGCCATATTTTATCTCTCTTTTCTAGTTGATGAATAAACACCTATGTAACATTGCAAAGCTGAGTGACTTGGGTTTTGTTTTGATGAAAATCGCTGTTTCTGGACAATATGCTAAACCTTTGAAGTCAGATTTAGGTGATGCTTTGTGAGTCTATACAATATATACTATACTTACAGAAAATGAACCATTGTATGTAAAGGGTTCACATGAGTTTTAACTTTATGCCACTTTATTGACTGTATAGTTTTTGCTTTTTTCTCTTTTTTGCTTAAAGTGGCCATGTTGTTGCTTCATATTTCATAAAATTACCAGCTGTCTTATGCTGGTGAGGCCTAATTAAAACTCTTCTCACACAAAGGGCAGGGACATTTATGTTCTTTTTGGGGGTTTTTTGTTTTGTTTGTTTTTTTTGAGACAGAGTCTCACTGGGTAGTTGAGACTGACCTGGAACTCACTGTGTAGCCCAAGCTGGTCTCGAACTCATAGCGATCCTCCTGCCTCAGCCTCCCAAGTGCTGGAGTTACAGGCATGCGCCACCACGCCTGGCAGGGACATTTATGTTCTAGGTAAAAGTTTTCAGTTTTTGTTTAAGAGCTGCTGACAAGAAAACTTTGAGATACACTACCAAGAAAGTGTGTGGCAGCAGCTGTGGCTGACCATGTTAGTTTACAAAGCATTCTTTAGCTTAACGCCATGTCATACGTTGATATGAAGGAAACAAAAATGTAGGGAGAACTGGCAGTATGTGTTAGGCCTTCCATTAGGAATGTTGAGTTTGACCAAAATTTTTTATTAAAATCATTTTATGGCCTTTAACCATTGCTGCTCTCAGTGGTCAACTTTTTAAGTATGGACCTTGCAGTTTTTCTTTTTCAAATCATTGGCTCCTTTTTTAAAAAATGAATTTTACTCAACTAATACTTCTATATTTAGCCTTTCCCCCCTACACTCTGCCTCCTCTTCCTTCAAAATGTGGTTACATTGTTTTGGTAACAGATGTCAGGGTCTGCCCAACAATGAGCTTAGATATTAGTTTTCCAGTTTCTACTCATGTCATCTGTGCATACAGTCATTGTAAGTATATGAAAGTGAAACAGAAGTAGATTGAGTAGTATGCTCTGATGTAAAAAAATCAAAACAGGACAAAACCAAACGGACTTCTAAGAAAGTTTTTATTAAATAAATATAATACAGTAGTTTATATGATAAAGAATTAACACTGTGATCACATGTGATGTAAAACTAGTCTTACCATATTCACTTTTCTCACAATTGATCAAAATACTAGTTTTTAATTAACATTCATTTCTTTAAAAAAAACTTGTCATTTGTTAAAATTTTGAAGAAAAATGAAAGTTCGACAGTATTCTTGTGGATGCTTTCAGAGTTTTCAAGTATATATATTACATACATTTTATATTCTTTAATATGTTACCTGGAGCCATATTATGTATGTAGTTCAGTGATTCAAACCATCTTTTAATAGCACAGAAACCACCTATAATAACATTGGAAACATTTAAGCCAATAAATTTATAGCTTGATCTAAGCTCTTGTCTAATTGGCTACTTGGCCTTTTATGTCATAATCACACCATGCAATAGTAAGTGGTATCTAAAGTTACAATGGGGAGACTGGAAAGTTTTTTCAATGTAAAGTTTCTCTCTCTCAAATAAAACATCTGAAACTCAAGACATCTTTAAGAATTTCTTACGAAAACATGCTGGAAGACAGTGGATCTTGTTTTCTCCCAAGAAGGATCTCCCAGGACCCTTTTTCCTTCTTGCTTTAAAATTGATCGTCAACAGATGCGGAAGCTACATCTTTTTGTTGGGTTAGTTCTTAAATTATTAAGTGAAGAGAGATGAGACTCCTTAAGATTGGCACTGGACAAAACAACACCTCACCTTCCTGGCTTATGAAACTCAGTTTTATTTGGCTTTTTAGTCTGAACTGTTGCAAAGCCAGTGCAGTTTGGACTGCTTATATGAACATATCTTTTCATGTCGGGAATCGAGTGTTGTCAGTGTTGGGGGAAACTGGAGTATTTGGAAGAAACTCCACTTTGAAGAGAGTGACAGGAGTTCTAGTGCCTCCAGATGGAAAAACTAAAAATGCTTGTAATCCCAGTACCAGTTTCGGCAGATCAAAGAATTTAGAGACATGGCTTGCACTTATTGAACGGGGTGGTTGTAACTTCACACAGAAAATTAAGGTTGCAACCGACAAGGGAGCCCATGGAGTGATCATCTATAACCTACCAGGAAGTGGCAATCAAGTTTTCCCTATGTTTCATCAGCCATTTGAAGACACTGTTGTAGTTATGATTAGCAACTTGAAAGGAATGGAAATTTTGCATTTGATTCAGAAGGGAGTTCCTGTTACAGTCACGATTGAGGTGGGGAGAAAATATGTCATCTGGATGAATCACTACTTTGTCTCTTTCATGATTGTCACATCTGCTACATTAACATATTTTATCTTTTATCATATTCATAGACTTTGGGTAGCAAGGAGTCAGAACAGAAGATGGCAGCAGTTAGCCACAGATCTTAAAAAAGCTTTTGGTCACCTCCAAGTTCGGGTATTAAAAGAGGGGGATGAGGAATTAAATCCAAGTGGAGATAGCTGTGTAGTTTGCTTTGAACCCTATAAGCTTAATGATACAGTTCGCATTCTGACTTGTAAACACGTTTTCCACAAGAACTGTATTGACCCTTGGATTCTAGCCCATGGCACATGCCCTATGTGCAAATGTGACATTCTTAAAGCTTTGGGGATTCAAGTGGACATTGAAGATGGAATAGAATCTTTGCAAGTTCTAATGGCGAATGAATTACCTGAAAACCTATCTCCTAGGCAAGAGGAGACAAATAATGAAGTTCTTCCTGTAAGAATGTCGGATGTGGAAGAACACCTTACTGCTCTGAATAGTAACAGCAAGCCCAGTTCTATAGGGGAAACCATTTATCCTTAACCTTGACAGCATGACCTCTGAGGAAGTGGATTAAACCTGTTTGTCAAATGAGGTCCTAATAACTGACAAGCATTTTGTTTGAAGTGTGGTCTGTGTGTCCTTTTCTGTTACTGTGGTAATTTTCTGCGTTCTTTGTTGAGGCTCAAAGTAAAAAAACAAGGTCTAGCAGCATTTTTTGGTTTAATTTTTGACATTTGCTGAACATAACTTTTTGCCAATGTATATTGTTCCTGTGAGTATGCATGAGCTCATTTCTGTGTACACTAGAGAGCTAAAGGCAAGAACACTTCTCTAAAGTTTTTGTGTATATACAGTATTGGGCTTTAATTTAGTAAGAAAATACATTTGCATGTTCCTTCTAATACAGTCTTAACTCTGAAAACATAATGTGCCAAGAAGATAAAATTTATATTTTCTTACTATGTTTATAGTACAGTTTATTAATTTTGATGATGTCGTACATTTTTCCCATCTTGGCATGAAAATTTTATCACTTATCCTTTTTTTTTTTTTTTTTTTTTT